AAGTTTACTCGGCCAGCATTTCCCTCATTGCCTTTGGCGGTCACTGAGGACAGCTAGGTTTCTGGGGAGGCATCTCTCTTCCTCCTAACTGGCTTGCCCCCATTCCAGGGACAAGGCCCCAGAAGCTGTGATTTCAGAGTCTAATGCTTTGGGGTGCAGGGAATGGGGGTCAGCAGTGAGCAGAATATTCCCATGATCTGCAAGGTTAGACAATACCTTTCAACCATACCAAATGTATTTCTTACCCCTATGGTTCCCAAAGATAAGCCCACCAGGAGCACAAAAGCTAAATGAGATACTGTCATTGGTGATTAGATAGCATCACCATCTTGGAAGGATATTGCCAATGAGAGAGACCAATGCTTAGATATTATCTCTAGTATTATAAGCTTTGCTGGCTTCGTTGACTAGACTCTGTGTTGGCACGATTTTTAGTTTGGTGTTGATGGCCCATTGCTTGCATAAAGTCAGCTCAGTTTGTGGGTGCACAGAGCTGGGGCAGGAGAAATAGTCAGGGGACACAGAGGAGGGAGGATATGTAGGAGTTGGGACGACAGGCAAAGAGACGCTCCATGCTGAAGTAGAGGCCACTGAGTGGGGGCCAGCACAAGGGGGTAACAACCTGAAGCCTGGAAACCCAGTTGCACTCTTAACAGCTGGGGAATCAGAGCAAGGGTTACATAGGCTTAGGCGCCAGAAGCGCAGGAATCTCACTCAGCTTTGCAAACATGTCTGGAAGGCAAAGCCTACAGAGTCAGCAGCCGGTGGAAGTATGTGATGGAAACTGACCAGAGGCCAAATTCCAGCCTCCAATCTGGACAATCTCTTTGGTGATATCTTCAGAGGTAGGAGGCTTCCTGTGGAGGGGATGGGAGCCAGGCCAGAAGCTCTCCTCCTAATGTATCCTCAGCCCCTGTTGGTGTGAGCAGGCCCCCAATCCCCAGCTGAGCCAGCCATGGCAGAGGCAGGTTCAGCATGAGGAAGCTTAGGAGTTCTGGAAACATAAGCCATTGTATCTTGGCTATTCTCAAGTGCTGGACTGGATGCTGTGACCACTCCCTTACTTCCAGCACATGACAAATGAATTCCTCCCTGAATCCAATAGGCAGGTCACCTGCTAAGTGACTCAGCTGTAGCAGCCAGCTAGGGGAAGTAGGGTAATAGCTATTAAGTAGTTTTCTGAGGAATGGTGGCATTCTGATGTGAGGTCAACAGGGCATGGCTTGGGAGGAAGTGGAGCTAGACTCAGAAAGAAGAAACTCACTTTCATGCACCCCAGCACTTGACCCAACTACCCTTAAGGTGTTCATTCTTAGCAGATGGGGGCATTTCTGTACCTGCCGCCTGTGCTTGTTTAACACATGCCCCAGTGTCTCCTTGTGGTTATCATCAACTGCAAGACTGGTGCTGTTTGATCTTTTCTATCACATGGTAGTTTTCCTTTCTCCTGGAATCTGTCTCTAAGATCTCACAGTGTTCGTGGCTGCTAGTGGTCCTGTGTCCTGGCTGCTTCTTCCCAATGCTGGGGTCTTGAACTGGCTTTCCTTCTTATTTAGCGCTCCTAGGAAGGCAACTGACATGTCCTCAAGTTAAAGACACCTTAAGCCCTTGGAAAGCCAGTTTTCTAATAGAACCCCTGGCACATGTGTAGAAGGATGATTTTTTTGGCATAATGCCTCAGTTTCCCAGTATCTGTCTTCCCAGTGACCTGTGTGTGACTATGCATTTGTATAGGGTAAGGCTGCATCGGCTTATAGAGCCCAGAGCTGTCCTGTCTGCTGCCGTCTGGGCTAGGCAGATACTCTCCACGCTATTTGGCTAGAGGAGGGTGATGGCTCATAAAAGCCCAGTGTGTTTCCACACTGGGCCTGCAAAGCTTTCCAAGATAATAAATAGAGTGGTTTAAATTCAATTCACCATCTATTTGAGCCCAGAGGTAGCATAGGCCATTTTTACATTTCAGGAATGAGTTTTCAACTGAGGGATAGAATTAGGATACATTTTTGATGGTTAGCTATATGCAACTCCACCTTCCCTTTGATATTTTGAGCGGTATCTCAGACCCCAAGGATGGAGATGTGATCAAATATTTAAGCACCTTGATTAGTTCTCTAAAGACCTGCGGCTGAAAGTTCTGTAAGGCTCCACAGGATTCAGCCAAAGTGTGACCAGAAACACCTCTCGTACGATCTTCTTGCTTCCTCCCCCCACCCCATGATACCCTACTTCATCTCTAAAGTTCTAATTCTCTCCTCTCAGCAAATATCTAATCAGCCAAATGAATCCCTCCTTCCATCCAGCACAGTGGTCTGGGGGCAGAGTGGAGGCATGTACACAAGAGTTTCCATGGCAATGGTGAGGGCAGTCTTTAGGAAACTAAGACAGATGTTAGAAGGTCCTACATGACCCAGTACTTTCTCTTGGTTTTATTCTCATGGGGGGAGGGGGAAGCCCCCAGCAGCTCACGTGAGTCCTCCAGCAAAGGATGTGTGTAGGGTCCTGCCTTCTAGTTCCAAGTGGAGGGTTTCCAGAGACCCAAGGAAGAGAAGTCCTAGTCTCCTGTGCTCCAGGGTTTAGGAGAAGATGGAGTCTCATCAGATCTCTGACCCAGGGGAGTAGTTCTTCCTGTTGATTCCCAGGGACACCTCAGATCTCCACTTATAGGAACATCTTCATACCTGGCCAGGAACAGCCTGAAGGGGCTCTGCCCAACTAAGCCAAGGTGAAACCTGCCTGTTGGTGGAACTGGTCACATGCTGGCCTGCTCCCATTTGTTCCTTACTCCTTGTCCTCTGTACTTGGTGTTTGGGCTGTTTATCACCTCATACTGTTCTTCATAGCCCTCCTCTATTTCTGCCCTTGCTTTGTGGGTGGGGTACCCATGGATCAAGGTGTGATTCTTCTTAGAATATCTTGTGCTAGAACCCATGAGCCATGCAAGGACAAGATTACCAGGGGATTTCATTTCGATTTAAAGATGAGAAACCCAGCAAGGAGGTTCTGGACTGATGAGGCTTTGAGAAAGGCTTTGCAAAGTGGAATTTCTCAGCATTACTTAAATCCTACAGCCTACCTTGGATCTGAGTAAAGTTTCCCAAGAAAGGCCTCTGGCCACTATTATTTCCCATCATATATACACTAGGAAGTCCATACATTAAAACATCCTTTGTGAATTGTGTTCTCCTCTATTTCCTCCCTCCCTCCCTTCTTTCCTTCCTCCCTTCCTCCCTTCTTGGAATCTCTCTTCGAGCTCCTGGCTTCCCTTGTCCACACTAGGCTTTGAATCCCTTCACAGCTCCAAGGGCTTCCGTGGGCCTCGCTACCCTACACTCTGTTGAGGAAGTATGCCTGGGTCTTCATCTAGTCTCACTGGGTCTGGTGCTCCTCCATGAGTCTGACTGAAAGTGGTTGGTTGATTGACCTAGATTCTCAACCTAAGTTCAAGCCCTTCTATGGGGGACACTGGCATCTGACTAGGCCCTGCTCTCACCTGGGCTTTTGTTGGTTGGGCCTCTGGGCTCAGCTTCTCATTTCTCCAGGGATTAATTAAGTTATATTACAGGGAAATTATAATTCACCCCTCAGATTTGAGTCTTCAGCTTCTCCTTTGCCTCAGCTAGGCCTCTGGTCACCCACTTTCTCCCATATCTGTTAAGCACTCAGTTAATCTTGCCCTTTGAGGCTATTTGTAAGAGGCCCCCAGGCCTAGCTGGCAGGGTGGCGCATGTGGTGAGCCTTCTTCGGCCCAGGCAGCCTAAATGCCGTATCTTTCCGGTCTATCAAACTAACGGTATGACCTTGACACAGGGGGCCAGAGCTGTGGTGAGATGGACTGACTAGAATGGAGGAGAGGTTCACAGAGAGAGAGTAACCTGAAACTTGGCCTTCCCCAAGCTGCGTGTCTCCCAAGAACCACACAGACAAAAGCAGAAAGCAAAGTAGGAAAGATGGCAGACATTAGCACTATGACAGTGACACAACTACCTGCCATGCTCAACTCTGGCTGTGACCTGGAGTATACCCATCAGCTGGAAGTCACCCCCTGGAACATTCTAAGATCAAGGCACCATCAATAATGGCTCCTCAGGAAATCCCCTCCCAGCAGGCTTAAATTCCTCTCTAGGGACCCACCAAGCATACAGGGGTCTTTTTTTTTTTGTACTTGGAGATGGGAGAAGGAAGGCTCCTCTGACAGAACATGGTGACCTATGGCTGACTGATGATCTCAAGTCTAGATTCTTGTCTATGAAACTCTTCTAGTATACCCCATCCCCAGATGCCTGAAACTGGCTGCCCAGATTTTTCTGAATGACTAATTGCTTTGAGCTATAAAACATTGGAATTAAGACATATCTCCCTTAGGACCACGCTGCCTGCCCTTCACATTTCCACAGCAGGTCCTCCTGCAGCACAAGGCCTTGGTTTGCCAGTCAAGTCATAACTGGAGTTCTCTGTTCAGCCTCTGAGTGTCACATACCCTTCCCCACCCCTCACTTTTGCCTGGCACCGCACATGCATGTTTGGTCAGAGAGCAGCCAAAGTATAAGAAAGTATAAGAGATAAGACTGATGGGCCCCAGAAAACAAGCTTTCCTCCTTGTAGGACCCTGGGCCAACCATTCTTGGAGCAGTCACCAAGTTCCATCTCATACTCTGTCACTTAATGCCAAGCATTTAGCTAATACTTTCCTTTACATGGACTCTTTCAAAGAACAATCCCATTTATCTCTTAAGAAGACATAGCTCTACGTCTCACAGCTAGCATCATTGTAATTGATTAAAATAAATAAATGAAGTCTGGTGGAGCAGCCCATATAGTTATTGCTGCAGTACTGTTGTGGGTGTCATAGATTTGACAATGCCCAGGACCTCAGACTCTCCCTCAGGGACAGTCCTTGCTGGGCTATCAGCCGCATCCTAGGCTTCCTTTTCTGAGCTCACATAGACTGGCATACAAATGCCAGCCAGCCACGGAGGGGAAGGGCTGTGGGCTCCACTTACAATTCTCGGCTTGAACGGGGGCTTGATCTTCTTCTGCTCTAGCAGTACCCAGTCGATCTCCTTGAAGAACGGGTGCTGTTTGATGGCATCCTCCCCATTTTGCGCTGCCACACAGCCCAGGCGCTTGTGGGGGTTCTTGGTCATGAACTGTGGAGAGGAAGGCGTGAATAGAATTACTGATGGATGCTCCCAGGCATGGGTCATGAGGGACTGGCTTCCGTGTCACTTGCCACACCTGTGCATGCTAGGGGCCTTGCTCTCAGGGTGCTCTTCTGCTGTTGCATTAGGAGGTAGTGGGTGTCAGACACCATTCTAAACACAGTACAGATATGAATTCACCTCTCTACCCCATAAAGTTCTATTGCTATTTCTACTTTGTAAGGGAGGAACTTGACACATGGAGAAGTTAGTTAACTGAACTGGAGCTGCACAGCTAGCAAGATACCAAGTTGAGGTTAGGATCTGACTCCTATTCTCTGATCCTTTCAGATGCTCATCTTCTCAGCAAAGAGACTGGGGAGCTGAGAATGCACAGCAAGAGGGTGAGCCTTTTTTGAGGTAAGGAAAAATGATCAGGTATCAATGGGCAGATAAATGATTAAATGTACCACTTTCTTTTTCCTGCCCCTCCAGCTTTTAAATTTTAAATATGTAATTGCTACACAAAAATGCCCATGTAGGGACTGGCAAAATGGTTCAGTGGGTAAAGGTGCTTGCCACCAAGTATATAGAGTTAAGTTAGATCACTGAGACCCAGATGGTGGAAGGAGAGAACCAACTCCCACAAACTGTCCTCTGACCTCCATATATACATACACATACAAAATAAATAAATGCAATTAAAAATATTTTATTATTTTAATTTTATGTGTGTGTGTGTATTGCCTACATGTAGGTAAGTGCACCCATGTCATGCAATGCCTACGGAGGACAGAAGTGGCTGTCAGATCCCCTGGAACTGGAGTTACAGACAGTTGTTAGCTGCCTTGTGGGTGCTGGGATTCAAACCCAGGTCTTCTGCACAGTCAGTGTTCTTAACCGCTGAGCCATCTCTCCAGCCCCATAAATGCAATTTTTAAAATGTCCATGTAGGTCAGAAGATAAAAGGTAAGAAAGGGGCAGTCTCATCACTATTCAGTGATTATAAGTAAGCCCAGAGTAATGGACCTTCTATGTTCTAGGTGGTGTTGTGTGACCCTACACCCTGCTGGACTCACTTCTATTAAACCATATCACTTTAACTGAGCAGCTGAAAACCAGTATAACCTAAAAAGTATTTTATAGCTACCAAAAATAAAGGTGTATATCTGCTGTGTATGTGTTGTATGTACTGCATGTATGTGTGTTAGAGGTCAAGTGCAATGTGTTGTGTGTATGTCGTATGCATTGCATGTATGTGTGTTAGAGGTAAAGTGGTGATATGTGATGTGTATTATATACATTCCATGTGTGTTAGAGGCCAAGTGGGAATGTGTTGCATGTATGTGTGTGTTCTATGCTTTTTCATCTACATGTCCATGAGGTTACCCCTGTTTGAATGCCTTGGGCGTCCCACATTGGGAAGTCTACACTCCTTTGGCACATAACCACGCTGATTGAGCGTTCCCTGTAGTCCCTCAGCATTCTCTAAGAACTGTTCAAAACGCTGATTCCTAGGCTGATAGCTTGACCATGTTTTTTGTCTATTTAAATTGTAGGCGGTTTAAACGTCACTTTCCCTCGGTAAAATCTATGATATAGGAGTCAGTCCCATCTGCATAGCATGGGTTCAGTGCCTACCTCCTGTCCAGCATTCAGTAAACTGACTAGGAGGCTGAAGACTGAGTCCTAGGACACAGTACAGAGAAAAAGCAGCAGCAAGATGAGCACTTACTGTTGCCTAGGTTTTCACTGCTGAACTCTAAGATACAAGTGGCCTTCTTTAGAATTCTGCACCACACTCACACAGGTAACAGTCTTCAGAGACTCAGCTCTGAGGACAGTCATAGAAAACATGGGCTGGAAACATCAAGTGACAATGTGAGGAAGTGGAAAGTTCCTCCTCACTTCCACAGCTTTTCCCACTCCCCTCTTCCAGGTTGGGCTAGAGAAGAGCCCCTTGGGGAGCCCCCCCCAGGTCACAAGTTCTCTGATATCAAGCACTTAACATAGCCTGACCTCTGCCTCTGAGTCTCTGCAGGTTGATCATTTTCTTTTTTCTTTTTAAGATTTCTTTTTAATTTTTAAATTATATATAATGTATGTGTGGGGGGGGGCTATGCACATGTGAGTGAAGGTGCCTGCAGAGCCCAGAAGAGGGTGCCAGATTGCTCTGGAGCTGGAGTAATAGGCAGTTGTGAACTGCCCAGTGTGGGTGCCAAGAATTATCTCAGATCCTCTGAAAGAGCAGTATGTGCCCTTAACGACTGAGCCTTGGGGGCTGACGGTTTTCATACTCCGTGCTACTGATGTTTTGGACTGTGTACTTCTTTGCTCTGGGACTGTTCTGCGCACTGCAGGCTGTTCAGCAGCATCTATGGTTCCTTTGCACACCAGCAGTAACTACTGTCCTCCCAACTGTGTTGACTCCAATATCTCCAAACATTGCTGAACATATGACTGATGGGTGGCTGAAAAATTATGGTGCTTTCTGGGCCGCACACGCACACACACACACACACACACGCACGCACGCACACACACACACACACACACACACACACACACCAAAACAAAACAAAAAATTATAAGAGGGCTTTGCTGCTGTGCAGGCAGAAGACTCTTGGGAGGCCGGTTGGGCTGGTGTGTCCATCAGGCTTGGTGTTCTGGCTGTCTTGAGTGCTAGAGATCGGTTGCCTGATGTTGGTGGGGATCTGGAACAGAAGGTTCTAATCTCTTCCCTTGCTAATCACCCAGGGAGTGTCCTTGATGGAGGACCCACATGACAGCTACCCCACGTTACAGCTCCTAAGAGCAAAGACAGGCAGATATGGCATTGAGTGGAGCAGGTGAGAGCCTACTTTGAGGACAATGAAATATATGTAAAGCCTTCTAATGTCTGTAACAGCAACAAAAGGTGAAGCAGCAGGAACTGGTGTCTTTATCTGCTCAGCACATACCTGAGATTCTGGAAGGTCATATAAAATCTGACATGTGAGTCACACCTGAGGGACAGAGTGTGGGGAACAGGCAGACAGGAGTGAGGACAAGATGAAGTCTTTTCACAATATTCTATGTTATACTTTAGGCATGTAAAAAGACTCCTGGAGTACCTCAGTTATTCAAACAAATGGGAGCACATAGTAGGGGAGGACCCAGAGTCAGAGCAGGTCTGAGGGCTCTGCAGTGAGCCAAGAGTGAGGCAGTACCTCAAATTCAGTCATGAAGCAATCAAACAGGGGCCAGTGAGAAATGCTGACAAGCACCCAACGAGGCAGGGATCAAAGTCTGGCACCTAAGAGTGACCCTTCCAGGGTTTGTTTTGGCCCACACGTTCCTTTGAATTGAAGGTGTTCAAATCATTTCACGTGCAGAGAGTTGTTAGAACAAAGCTGGATTCCAGGCTTCCTTTTGAAAAGCCAGGTGTGGTGAGGAGAGCCCTTACTGCAGACCTGTGATCATCTGGAGAGAGGGAGTGGACATCCCCCAGATGGGTGGGCTGTGGCTCTCAGAATACTCTACCTCCACCACACTCACTGGGGGTCACCTGCCACATCACTTTCTTGGGTCTCAAAGGCATTTCACCTTGTACACTGGAACAAAAAGAACAAAGTAGAGACCCAAGACCTATTGCCTTCCATGTTAAAGTAGATGCTGAATGGAGCACCTTAGACATGCCAGGCATTGCTCTAGGCTCTCAGAGAAACTAACCGTATCCCTGTCCTCCTCTCCTAAAGGTTTCTGGTCTTGTGAGAGGAAACAGACTACATATGAAACATAGCATCTCCACGGTATAATTTATTTAGTTTGGGTTTTCTGATTATTTATTTATTTATTTATTTATTTATTTATTTATTTATTTAGTGTGTGATGTTTGTGGGTGTTTTTATACATGTACGTAAGTGCCTCCATTTTTGTATAATGCCTTCCCCAAACCAGAAAACAACATAAGATCCCTTAGAACTAGAGTTACAAATTTAGAGGACAACTTTCAGGAGTCAGTTCTCCTTCTACCTTGCTGAGGCAGGGTCTCTCTTGTTTTTGCTGTGTTGTGTACTCCAGGCTGGCCTGCCTGCGAGCTTTGGGCTTTACCTCCTATCTCCACCTCCCATCTTACTGCAGGAGTGCTGGGATTACAGATTCCCACTACAGCATCCAGCTTTTTACATGAGTTCCAGGAATACAACCCAAGCCATTAGATTTGGATAACAAGTGCTTTTACCCAGTGCTTTTACTCAGCCATCTCCTTGGTCCTTTTTGTTTGTTTGTTTGCTTGTTTGTTTGAGTTTTTGAAATAAAATCTCTAGCCCAAGATGACCTCTAATTCACTGCAACCGACCTATGGCCTTGAATTTCCTGATTTTCCGGACTCCATACCCTAGTTATGTAATCATGAACTGGCTTCATGGATGCTAATCAAGCATTCTACAACTGAGCTACATCACCAGACTTCTGTGTATATTGGAAGGTGGGAAATGCTACGAGGATACATGAAGCAGGAGGTAAGGAGGTCAGGGAGAATGGGACCATTCCATTTTTCAAAGGCATGAGTGTGGGAGAGAGCAAGCCTCTTATATACTTGGGTACCTCTCCAGTGGGAGGCAGAGGATACAGTAAAGGAGAGAGAAAAGTTGCCCAGAAAGCCATAGAAAGATAGAGGAAAGGGGGTGAGGCAAGGGAGACAGAGACACTGAAAAAATGGTTTTTATATCTTAATTTCATATGACTTCTAATAGTCCTGGTAAGTACTGTGGATTTTCCATCTGTCATAATGTGCGGCAGATTTCGTGAATGTGACTGGTAAACTACTGAACTTTGGGGCAGTCTTATGGAGAGCAGAAGCCAGGACTGGAAGCTGAGGTTCCTGGGCTCTGCCCAGAAGGTAATCTTGGGCAAACTGGCAGCTGAGTGTCTCTAGGCTGAGGGACCATCTCTTCCTTGACACAATATAGGTGTCACATTGCAGGAATAGCTGTGTTGATAAACAAAGTATCCATGGGGGCAGTGACAACCACATGTCTAAAATCAGCATGGTTACAAGGCTCATGGGTAGACCATATGTTATCTAATTGGCAGCCATCCAGCCACAGTGACACTAACATGGAAACAGTGCCCTCTCCTCTCTCTTCCCCATTACAGGCCACAATGCAGACAGGTCCCTCCTCCAGAGAAGGAAGGAGGCCCCTACTCCAAGTGTAAATGGCAGACACAATTCAACTTGGGTTGGACCTATTGCCTCTGAGATGCTGGGGGACAGAGGTGCACAGAGCACCATCTCAGGCCACATACGCACATGCTGTTCTTTTCCTAAAGATGTGTATTCATCCCAGAACCTGTTCATTTTTTGGTAGGTGGGGGTTTGAGACAGGATCTTTCTATAGTCCCAGTTGTCCTGGAACTTACTAAGTAGACCAGGCTGGTTTCACTCTTATAGAGATCTATTTCTGTTTCCTAAATGCTGGGATCAAAGGTGTATGCCACTATGCCTGGCCCAGGCCCTATTCTTGACAGCAGCCAGTAAACCCTGCCTGAACTCTCCATGGGGTAGCCTTGAACTGTCATATATTAGTAAGCAGAGGTGGGAGGGAGAGAGACAGAAAGAGATAGGAGAAGAGCAGAGAAAGGAGGAGAGAGAGAGAGAGAGGGAGAGAGAGAGAGAGAGAGAGAGAGAGAGAGAGAGATCTTCCGGGAGCAGAGCCATAGCTTAGGGAAGGTTACTCACAGCTTTTAGGATGCTCACAGCCTCCTTGCTGAGCCAGACAGGGTACAGCACATCATCATGAAGGATGGACTCAAATAGGTCATCCTCATTGTCGGCCTCAAAGGGGGGCTGGCCAGCCATCATCTCATACATCAGCACTCCCAGGGCCCACCAGTCTACTGAAGGGCCGTACTCCAACTCCTGCAGGATCTGTTCAGGAAACAAGCAATGTCAGGGACTACCAAAGAGCCCTACCCCAGTAACATCCCTGTCACCAACTCCTATAGAAAGGTCTGTGACTTCATGTCCAGTTTGTTCTACCATAGAGCAGAACTGTGCCACTGGAGGGAGAGTTCTACATCAGCACCTTCAGAGAGACCTGGGTATGGGAGGCACTTTGCTGGAGGCCAATATCCTCTCTCCAAAGTAAGCATCCCCAGGGTAGCCTCTGGTAGGAACAAGTACCTGTTTCTTTGAGCACCAGATAAAGTTCTTGACTTGCAATTAGGGTTACTTTTTAAAACATAAAGCACATTTTGACCTCAAAATCTGCATTAGGGGAGTAGATGCAAACTCCAAAAGGCACAAGCAAACAGAGTGACTGGCAGCCAGGCAGGCTCAGTTCTGTATCCCACAGAGCTTGGGTATGCTACTAGTGTCCATGTGGACAGTGGTCCAGAATCTTGATCTTCTTTAAATGGTGACAAAATGCTAAACTTACCTGAGTTCCATGCTCCTGGGAAGGAAATGACAGAAGTCTTCCCCAGCATATGGTCCCCATAAAAGACCACTACATTCTTGTCTATGACAGGAAAATACCCATCTCCATCATTCCTCTTGGTTCCCCAAGTGTCACCAATGATCATGTCATTTACCAGCCTTTAGAGAGCCCCAGGTCCCATCCTTTGAAACAAACCTTATGAATGAATGTTATCCCTATGGTCTGGGCCCAAATCCAAAGAGCTCCATGATTGCCCGGTGAATGTTATCTTTGACTATGGCTACCTAGACTCAGGAATGCTCTCTTTTGCTATTTCTTTGGCCAAATGGAGAGAGTAAGAGAGTTAACTTAGGTGAAATGCATGCAGGATGTGCTAAACACCCTTCTAGAGCGATTCCAAGTGACTTAGGATTAAATAGAAAGATGTAGGTAGAAGCATCTAATGACATTAGACACATGCATAGTTTAGGAATCATTTCAACTTGAGATGAAGGAGAATGTGAGAAAATGCAGCTAACTCTACGGTCTTTGTAGGTGGTGATAAAATTGATTAATATGTGGGGTTCCTCCACCCAATGATTAGTGCAGAGTATCTCTAACGTCAGAACTTTAGGCTCCACTGGCCCAAGGTGCTAGTCCAAGCTGAGTTCTCTCTCAACCTCATGAGATCCAGTACCCAGCCTAGCTCCAGGTCTCATTGGTACCACCTGCTTCTGTTCTTAAAGATTAAGGCTATTCTGTATCTCCTGTAGAAAGCCATCTCAGAATTCCCCAGCTTTCTCCCATCCTCCTATCCTAAGACCCTGCCTGTTTTCTAAGGTTTGCAGGCACTGCTCTTGAATGCTGCAGTTTCAGTTACTTTTTCAGTCAGCTTTGTCCTTGAGCATCTGTAAAACACAGAAAGTGAGGGCTCTATCATCCTCTAGAGCCTGCTTTTATGAAAGGTTCATTTCCACACTCAGGACACAGCCACTGTTTCATGTCCACCACTGTGTATATCTTACTCAGTGTACCCTATTAGCTCTGAGGCTCAGGGGGCACTAGATGATAAGGTGGCCACTCTAACCTCACAGACGTGAGACAGCTAGGGTCTGTGCCTCTGTGGTGTGCTGAGAAAATCTATAAGTAGCTTCTTTATGCTCAGACTGGATGGCTGTCAAAATGGCAGAGAGGCCTATGCACCCTTCCCAAGTCCCATTTGAGCATTTTTTTGGGTGACATCTTTTGCAAAATTCCTTTTAAGCTTGGCCCTATTTATCCTCTGCCTAACTGCCTTGTCAGTAATGAAGGTGGTGAGATGGGCAAGGCTTTGCACACTATGGGAAGGTACCTGGTATGACAGCCGGTCCCTCAAGAGAATCAGGGCTGGGGCAGAGGAGAAGGGCAGGTGTTGGGCCTGATGGCATCACGTATGGCCCAGAGCTGATAGCTATTCCCTGGGAAGTAGGGTCCAGGTGTGGAGAAAGGAGAGGGTGCAGGTGGCCAGAAAGGTTAGCGAGGGGTACAGCGTGGGAAGAGAAGTTTTGGCAGAACTGATGCTTCAGAAAGTGTCTCTGGTTTCAGGGCTAGCCTCACCTGCTTGAATAGAGGTATATGCTTTCTGACGCATTCCCACCTTTAATCCCATTAGAGTCTGAAAGCAGCCTGCTGAGATGGGCAGGGCGGGCATTAGGATTCCCATGGGAAAGATGAGGCACCTAAGGTTCCAAAACACTTTCTGACTTCATCGAGGGCACATGGGATCTTCTGGTCTGGTCTCAATTTTCAGAAGTTTCTCCTTCCCCATTACATAACCCAACAATGACAAGACCCAAGGAGAGAGCAACCAAGAGGCCTGTGCTTGTTGTGAGTTGGGCACTGTGCTAAGTGCTCAAGGGGCAGAACTTCATTTTACCCCCCACTAGCCCTTGGTCAAAGCAGTCATAGCTTTCTTTATCAGCTGTCGTTTGCCTGTCATATAGTTGCTTGTCAGGAAAAGTGACCGTGCCTCATGCTGAACAGAGTCTTGCTAGTGGCCTCTTACATGGAGGCTGAGTGGGCTTTTTGTTCATTGTAAAGTGCTTGCTTGTCTTGGGTGGGGTCCTTAACTACTGCCCAGGCACTGACCATGCATTGGGTCACAGAGGGCCTGGAATGGAACATTCTCATGATGAAGAATGAATGTGGAAGATGAGAAAAGCAAGTCCCAGTGGAGAGTCCTTGCTTTCATTTATCCCTCCTTAAAGACTGACTTGCTAGTTTCCTGCTGAGGGAACACAGTAACTAAGAAACTGAAATCACCACTCTTCAGATCTCTTAGAAGACCTATTAGAACTCACCAGCCTCACTCTTAAGCTCCCTCAGGTCGCACATGTGTTGTGGGGAAAGACTGTCAAAGGTTCACCCTTCCCTCAGCCTGCTTTTTTCCTCTTTTCCTTTTAACAGAAATTTTATCAATGTATACGACATGAGAATAAGTTCTAAAACTCAAGGGAAAATACAAGATAAAGGACACAGAGGTAGTAAGTATCCCTTTTCCTTAAAGAAAAATCTCATCAGATAGTCACTAACGATATTACAGTCTAATAAAAGTATATGTAGCAATATAAGAAAACTAGGATGGATTGTTCTCTGCGTAATTAAAATGTTTTCATATGAGTATTCTAAAAAAAGAGGAAGTACCAACATTTCATATCAAAGACACAGAAGCCCAAATCCTAAGGTAGAGGCTGCTACTATTGCCATCAGTACCTACGTGTGCAAGTGAACCCAGTAAGTGCTGTACGTTCACAACCAGCTCAAACAAACATGACAAGGTTCCAGAAAAGCAACATTAGCTCCATAGGACATATACCAGGAAACTATGTCCAACAATATCATACATAGGAACAAGAAAGAAATATGCAATATAAACCATTAAGTTCCCCAGAAGTCCAGTTCAAGTTCACTAAGATTAAGATATCAAAATGATTTTTTTCTACATCATTTTTATTCTTTGAGAATTTCATGCAATGTATTTTGATCATATTCACCTCCCACAACTCTGCCCAGATCCGTCTTCTCTTCCCTTCCCTGCTCACCCACCCAACTTTGTATCCTCTTTTTTAATCCCATGATGTCTAATTTGTGCTTCCCATATACTAATGAGTGTAGGCCATTTACTAGGGCACAGTTGCCATACCAGGGGCCACACCCTTAAAGAAAACTGACTTGCCCTCTCCCAGAAGCTAGCAGTTTCTAATAGCTCCCCCAGCTAGGAGTGGGACACTGGGACATTGTACCCACTTCCCCTCTCCATGCTGGGATTTTGTCTGGCTTGAGCTTGTGTAGGTCTTGTGCATGCTGTCACAACCACTATAAGTTCATATGTGCAACTGCCCTGCTATGTCTGGAAAACACTGTTTAATTGCAGTCTTCTACTGCCTCTGGTTCTTACAGTCTTTCCAACCTCTCTTCCACAATGATCCTTGAACCTTGGGAGAAGGAGGAGTGATACAGGTGTCCCATTTGGGGCTGAGTATTCCACAGTCTCTTATTCGCTGCACTTGATCAGTTGTGGGTCTCTGTGTTATTACCATCTACTACAAAAATAAGCTTCTCTGATGAGGGTTGAGAGATACACTAATTTATGGATATAACTATAAGTCATTGGGAATCAGTTTGACACTATGTCCATTTAGCAGAATAATCATGGTAGTATCTACCCTAGGGACTGTGACCTGTCTAGTAGCAGGTTCTTGGCCCCTAAAATGGTACCAAGTATGGGTTTTGTCTTGTGGAGCAGGCCTTAAATCAAATCATAAAGTGTTTGGTTACTCCCATGACATCTGTGCCACTGTTGCATCAATGGGCATGTTTTGCTAGGCTTGTTGCTTCTGTAGCTGGCATGGTTCATAACTGGGTAAGACTGATGATTACTTTTCTCCTTTGGTGGCATGCATAGCACCTCCCAGCACTTTGAAAGTTACCCAGTAGGGGTGAAGAACCTCTGTACAAGCTTGATTTCTCCAGTCTATGACTAAAGTTTGTGGTGTCTTCAGGAATAGGGTCTTATTATCAAGTTCTGAGGAGTAGCCAAGAGCATTGGCAATAGTCAGTAATGTTTAGGGGGTCTATGGGACGTCATTGACCAACACCTCCAAAAGAGGTAACCCATTCCTAGAACTGGGCTTTTTATTGATTAGCCTGTGGTGTCTAGTAGGGGCATTGCCCCCCCCACCTTTATAGGGTAACTCCAGTCATACATATGCATATATAAAGAGTTTAAATAGTTACTCTATTTAAAATTTTTTTGAGACAGAGTCTCAGGTAGTCTAGGATGACCTGGAACTCACTATGTAGCTTGAACTTCTGCACCTCCTGCCTCTACCTCCTGAGTGTTAGAGTGCTGAAATTGCAGTCAAGCACTACCATACCTGATGGCTAGGCATGCTGTCTGCCAACTGAGCTCTACTCCAACTGCTGACATGTACTGCTTTCTTCCTGGATCAGATCTAATGAAGGCCCTCCCCCAAGGGAACCCTTAGTAGGTCCACAGATCCTAGGGAATCAAGGCTATATTCCTGTGTCTGTTATCCTAATTTTGTTCATTATTATACACACTAAAAAATCCTCTGTGTGTGTGTGTGTGTGTGTGTGTGTGTGTGTGTGTGTGTGTGTGCTTCATGGCATGCATGTGGAGGTCAGAAGAAAATTTTTGAGAGTTGGCTTGCTCCTTTACTTCTACATGGGTTCCATGGATTGAACTCAGGTTGTCAGGCTCATACTACAAGCACTTTACCCATTGAGGCCTCTCACTAGCCCTATAATTATACTATTTATCTCCAATATGCTTTAAACTCTTGGCTTTTGCTCATGCTAAAATGTTATAAATTATCATTAATTTACTAACTAATTCATTCAAAAAAAAAAAAAAACAAACAAACATTATCTAGAGCCCATGGTCTATGTGCTGGATCCCGGGAGTAGCCAGATTAGAAACACAGATCCTGCCCTGAAAGGATTTAGAGCCCAGAGATAAGGAACTTCCTTTTCTACATGGTCCCCACTATGACCCTCCTTGCTGTTTTCAGGAATTCCCTCTTATTCCTATGGTCAAAGGAGGCACTGCAACTCTGTTTCACATCCAGATGATCCTATGGTCAAAGGAGACATAAAACATTCTTTGCAACTCCATTTCACCTCCAGATGATCCATGAAGCCTTCCCACACCCTTGCTGGTATCCTCTTGTTTTTAGATACCTTTTCCTACTTACTTATGTCTTACTATGTCTAGAACAAAAGTTTCTTTCAAAGAGTGATCAATGTCTCAATCAACTCTTCATCAGTATTTTGCTTTGTCAAGTAGGTGCTCAAACAATGCCCAATGGAAGGAAGTAGAATCCAGATGTGCCAATTCTCCACTTCAGGCGATACTTAATGGGAGTGGTATCTCCTTCCCATCTAACATGTCTCAGAATTATCAAATAAATTTAAATTGATATCTATGGGAATTTGACTAAATCTGAATCATCCATGCTAAATATCTCTTGGTTTGGATCAGACTGATCTGGAGGGACTCAAGCCAACAATCACCTTATGAAGAGCTAAATATTCCCTGAACTTTCACACAACGTAAACCCATTGATGAGGCTCATGGTAGACGTCACTTATAATACTCTCTTCTTGCTCTATGCTGTGTGCACTGTGTAGACTTGCCATCTCAGTGGTAATGCCAAACTGTTCCCGGTTTCACTGTGAAAATTACATCCAATAAAGCTAATTGCTATCTTTTCATTTTTCTGATTAGTATGAAGCAAAAGCAATGCAAGACAGCACATTTCTCCTAGATTTGTTGGTAGTTCTGGACTAGGATGAATGCCTGATAGTCAATGAGAACTTGTCGAGGCATAGGGAATAACCTGTCACTGTCGGTTCACCTATCCTGCCCCACTGATCATCCCATCCTTATGGAGAAATCATCAAACCATTCCATTTCTTCTTCCTAGAAGCTATCCTGCTTTTTCCAGAGCCTTCTCCCACCTACATTGGATGACTCCAATGCATGGTAATGGATTCCTGCTTTAGCCTTGGCATCAAGAGAACATGGCGTTTTGCGTATGGGTCTTACCTCAGGAGCTATATAATCAGGAGTCCCACAGAAGGTGGTGGTTGTCACGCCATTCAGAATTCCTTCCTTGCACATTCCAAAGTCAGCCAGCTTGCAGTGACCTTCTGCATCTAGAAGGATGTTGTCCAGTTTCAAATCCCTGCAAGACAGGCCAAAGCCACATAGTTAGCCCCACTCACCCGATAGGGTCTTCTTGAGTTGGAGAGATGCACACATGCTAGGGAATCTCCAGTAAAGGAAGTCTGGAAGAAGTTTTGACTTGTCCCAAATTAACCGTAATCTAGGGGATGTCTCCCAACTGGTCAACTGCCAATGGTATCTCCATTTCCTCAGCAAAAACTAGGATCCTCCACAACCCCAGACATGTATTAAGACTGGAATTCATGTCATTCAGACCCTGCTATGAGAAAGAAGCTGTGTATTCATTCACCCATCCTTCACAAGTTAACCAGCTGGAGGGACCAGGCTGACAAACAATAACACTGACGAATCAAGTAAAACCACCTAAGAGTTAGGTGTTCCTGTGCAGGGTGCCTACTACGTGAGCAGCTGGATTTCAGAGGTGGAGATGACAGATGATTTGTGTAGACAGCGCAAGCATCCAGGCAACAGGGGTTCTCAGTCTTGAGGGGAAGCTGGTATTTGGACAGACTGTGAACAGAGGAAGTGAGAGAGAGCAGGGGAAGTAAAAGCAAAAGGTGAGAAGGGCAGAGAACTGGGTCCCAGAGAACAGTGAGATAAGACAGACTTGTCAGAGCCAACCTCAGAGAGCCTGGAATGTTAGGTAGAGCGATCTGAAACCCACGCTGAGAGCCCTGGAGCATGGTGCCTCTGCGAGATCAATCTTCTGGGGGCTATAGGGGAACAGAGGAGTTGTCAGGGGTAAGAAGGTACATTGGTTGTAATAACTTGGACCCAGATGGTTTTGTATAGGAGGAAGGGGTCATGGGAGCAGGCCAGCATCAAGCAGTGTGGCCCATTTCAACACTTTAGGGCTCTGTGTAAGATCCTGGGTAAAACCCAGGGTTCTAGGTAAGAATTTTTTCACCATCCCTGGAAACCCCAGGCCTGGCCCTGTAGAAGAATCCAGACTGTGTGGATGGAGATTCTCACTCTGGGCCTCTTTCAGCAGCTACTCTGGGGTGCTGACGTGGGCCTTTCAAAGAAGGCCTCTTCCCCCACATGTAGAGATCAGGAAAGGGACATGCTCATGAGGGCACTGGCATCTAGACTCAGCCACTACCAGGGACCCAGGCTGGAGTGGAGGTGGAGCAGGAAGTGCTTTCAGAACTGCCTGCCTTGTATCTGTGACCTTAATTCTGCTTACAGCGCTGGGATTCCTTGAGATAGAAGAAAACACGTAAAAAGTGCTGTTCTAAACAAATGCTCTCGAACCACAGAAAAAGCAGTGAGCCCAACCAGCTGGGTCACTGGGGCTGGGCTCCTGACCCCCACCCTGGCACTGAGTCAGGGCAAGGCTCAGCTCTGGCTGGGGTGGGAAAGCAGGGATGAATGCTGGGCTGGGGTCCAGGCTGCCAGGGTTTCATCACTGACTATGGAATATGCCTGCTAAAGTCACATTGCTGGCCTGGTCTCCTGTCTGTCAGATTGGGATCACACACTGTGCTTGTCTGCTGGTTTGAAGGACTACTGGGATGAAGTGTGTAAAAGGTGAAAGTCTTTGATCTCATTCCATCACTTCCTTCATGGAACATCTGACTTGGAGGGAACTGGGAGGCCTGTCTGCCCCCTTGTAGAAGTTCCATTACTGAGAAGCTGAACACATAGGACAGGCCGAGTCAAATGTTTCTTTGTGCTCTGGTACCCAGATTTGCCTTTACGAGGTCCACATGACAGGCATCAAGACCACAATAGTAACGGTAATTGTAAAACCAATAAGAACAATGCTTCTGTACGTGACTGAATTCACCAGGACACCTCTAGATTTACAAAGCCCTACATTCTCACTCTGAGTTAGGAAGAATACATTCTGTGTTATCCTTGTAGACATAGTAAACCAGAGCAGGAAGGTGACCAGTGATCTTGTGCCCCCAGAAGCCCTACTTCAGCCCTGTGCTGCCTTCTTCTGCCTCTGGCCTTGCTATGAGTTGACCATTCTGGGACCAGCCATCACCTTAACTAGATAAAAAGTCCCTAGTGCTCTGCTCTCAAAGCACTCTTTTAAAGTTTTTATTGTGTTACAGAAAGGACTTAAAGTTTTTGTATGAGTGGAATGCAGTCCAAAGATTCCAAGCTCCCCTTCCCTCTGCTGGGTTTCTGATAAGCCAGGGTGGGCCTCTCATTTCTCCCCACCTCCTGCTCTTCTATCCTAGCTCCACTCTTCCCTGGCCCTTTTGCTTCCAGCCCTCCCTTCTCTCTGGGGAAATAGCTGCCCCAGCTGCCCTTCAGGCAGCTGCCCTTCCAGGGTGGTTCTCATTTCTCCCCCCCTCCTGCTCTTCTATCCTAGCTCCACTCTTCCCTGGCCCTTTTGCTTCCAGCCCTCCCTTCTCTCTGGGGAAATAGCTGCCCCAGCTGCCCTTCAGGCAGCTGCCCTTGGCTGTGACCCCCGGAAGGCCCCAAGCCAAAACAGTCCTTCCCACCCTCCCTGCCACTGATGCCAGGAATCCCCCCTCTGGCCACTTCCTCCCATTCCTCCTTTGCTATCTGAATTTCTTGAAAATGCTTAACTCTATATGAAACCAGACATACATTAGAGTCCTTCCTTTGGGATAGAAGGTTTAGAAGACCCCTGGGAGTCAGAAAGGCTGCTACTAGAACCCTGTTCCTCTGGAGGTCTTCGGTCTCGTTAAAAAGCATCCATCCCTCTGGGGCAAGCTTGTCTGGTGCAGGGATATTGCTAAGGACAGGAAAGAATGTTCTTCCCCATGAGGAGGAGGGTACAGGCTGCTGGAAGGAAGCAAGGGAGGACTGTGATGCTCCTGCCTTGGTTTCCTCCCTCCTCCTCTCCAGCAATGGCCACCCTGGGACCTCTGGCTTTCTACTTCCCTGCTCTTGCCCAGGAGTTCCTCACCTGCAACTTTTTAGTGCTGCTTCCCAGTAGGAGCCTGTAGGCCTCTCCAGGGAGGAGGGTTGGGAGGGATAGTACCTCAGCACTACCTTCTCTGAGGTCCAGCTGCAGGGCAGGGGAGGAGTCTTTCCTCTTGGAGAGCTCTCTCAGGTGTTCAGGACCCAGCATAACATGGAGTAAGTACTTAGTAAACTTAACAGATAGCTTGACAGAAAGACAACTTCATAGATGTGATCCAGATCTACTCAGTCCTCAAGTACTAGGGCACATTTGAAGTCTGGAACTTTTTTTAAAGAACTAGGGTCATTATAGAATAAAACTTTCAGCAGAATGCCTTTCTCTGTAGGTGAATCACTGTGAACAACTTTACTTACTCAATTTATTGCCAATTTCATTCGCTTTTTTTTCAGTAGGTCATACATCCATGTGTTCCAAAAAGGAAACCCAAAGTAAGCAAGGGAAAACAGTAATAATTCTACTTTCTGCATGGATTCCTTCCTGAAGGCAATTATTTTTTGTTAACTTCCTGTTGGCCATGCTTTATACATAAATAAAAAAGTAAGAATATATGTTCATGTCCCACTTTTAACAAAGAGGATGGTTTGGGGGACTACGTTTTTCATCTTGATATGTATTGGTGAGCGTTCCATCTTGACACATAAGAAACTTCCTTGTTCTTTCTTTATGGCAGCATAATGCTTCATTTTTATTGAGAGGCATTTAGGATGGTGCTTCTAATGTTGTTGGGAATAATCTTATACATGTGACAGTTTACGTGTGTGTCAAGGAATTGTATGAATTTCCAAGGCATTTCTGGATTAGATGCAAGAAATATGAGTGCTAGACATCACCAAGTGGGCCTCCTTAGAGATTAAAACATTTACCCTTCCATCAGCAATGTATGCTGGTGCCTGTTTCTTACATTCTTACTAATATAGTATGTTACCACACTTTGTTTCTGTGATAGGTTAAAATGGTATCTCAGTGCATGCTTTGGTTTCTGTCAAAGTTTGAGCATTCTTTCATGTATATAAAAGGATTTGTAGATTTTTTATGTGAATTTTCTGTTGCTATTTTTCTATTGTATTCTTATTGATTTTTAGGAGCTCTTTTTCCACTAGGAAGCAAACTTTGAGCAGGGTAAGAATGGCAAACACTTCACACAGATTATTGTTTGACTTTAGACATGGCTAATGAAGTTTTACTGATATTACCTAGTTTTATGTAAGTGAGTGGATATTTGGTTTTTTAATATTTTATTTGTTATTTTTATTTTATGTGTATGAATGTATTGCCTGCATGAATGTAAGTGCACCCATGTGGCTCAATGTCTGCGAGATCAGAAGAGGGGTTGGATTCTTTGGAACTGGAGTTATGGATGGTTGTTAGCCACCATGTGGGTGCTGGGAATCGAACTGGGGTCCTCTGCAAGAGCAGTCACTGTATGGGTTTTGGATCCTATGTCTTAATTTGAAATGTTTTTACCCCTTTCAAGTAATACAAGTATTCTCCCAAAGTTTCTCCTAGTACTTTTGCTTTTGTTTTGTAAGCAGGAGTCTTTGCCACACTTGGGATTTGTTCTGTTAAAGGTATGAGGTATATATCTAACTTTATTTGTTTCTAGATACCTGGATGTTAATAGTTCGTCTATCCTTCATCAATTGAAACATCACTCTTAGCAAACACTCATGTTAAATTTCTATAAGCAGTTGGAATTTTTCTGTACTTGTTATGTGACACTTTTTAATTATTGCAGATTTATAGTGTGTTTAATACCCTGCATGACTGACCTCTTTTTGAAAATGTCTTGACTCTCAAAATTCCTGTTTATTTTTCCATATGAACTTTAGAATTGTCTGTCTAGTTTTTTGTTTTAAATCCTGGTTCTGTTTTTATTGAGAACATATTCAAAGTTAAAAATTAACTCAGGGAGAATTGGTATTTTTATGATGTTGAGTCTTCCTAGCCAATAATTCTGTTTGCCTTTCCATTTGTTCCAGCCTTATCTGAGTCCTTTAGGAGTATTTCAATGACTATCTCACACAGATTCTGTATATTTCTTGTTACATTTTATGGAAGATTGTTGATTGTCCCAATATCCATCCTCACTT